CTCTCTCTCTCTCTCTCTCTCTCTCTCTCTCTCTCTCTCTCTCTCACACACACACACACACACACACACACACACACACACACACAAACACACACTTCCTCTTCGTCCCCACCCTCCATCTCCCCTGCTTCCTCCTCCTCCTCTTTGCATCATGATGGTCTTGCTCCTCCAACTCCTTATCTCGCTTCTCCTCCGCCTCTTCCACATCCTCTCCCCTCTCCTCCTACTTCGCATCTTCTTCCTCATGGCCTTGCTCCTCCTGCCTGTCATCATCTTAGTCGTCGTCATCCTCCTCCTGCTGCACTTCTTCTCCCTCCTCCGCTCCCTCCTTTTTCTCCTCGTCCTCCATGTCGTCTAATTCACCATCTATCTTGATCCTCCTGCTCCTGCTCTTACTCTTCGTCTCACTACTCGTCCACTCGTTCTCCCTCCTCGCTGCGTGCTCCACGGGGCACTTTTTCTTGGTGTTTATTTATTAATTTCAAATGATCTTTGTCGTTAACGGCTTCTCGCTCCTCCACCTCCGTCGCTGCCTCCTCTTCCTCCTCCTGCACGTCTTCTTCCTCCTCTTCTTTGTCCACAACCATCTCCTCCTCCTTCGTGTCCTCTAACTCCTCTTCATCCTTTTGGTCCTCCGTGTCCTGCTCTTCGTCTTCAGCTTGCTTGTCGTCGTTGAGTTGTTTCCCTTTCTGGCTGCGCGCTCCACGGGGCGCTCTATTTCCCTTTTTGTTTTTTTTTTCCATCTCCAGCTTGTGCCGCATGCTCCATGTGGGGCTCTTTTCCCTCTTTTTTTTTCCCTTTTTACTATCTCCCCTCCCTGCCGCGGGCTCCACGTGGCGCTCTTTTCCCTTCTTTTTTTTTGCCCCCTGTCTTTCCGCACCCATTTGGAAACCGCCAAGATCACGGCTTTAACACCTTTTTCGACCTTTTGGCTAAGATGATAAGATCATGTGTAGTATCAAAAAGCGAAGATCATGTGTAGTATCTGTTCTGATCAGTTTAATATCTGATCCGTGGTCGATCGGGCCACATTTACGCATGTGCAGTGTGCACACTGCAGTGACAGCACACTGCCCAGCGCTCACTCAGGTAATGTCAGCATGTACCCGTGATCCCCGCCCCCCTGCCCCGAAAAATATAGGGGATCCAGACCGGCCCCGTTATTTCGGAAACTTCCGGTTTTCCGGAGGTCCGGTTGGGCCCGCGAGGTCCGGAGTCTGGGGTCCGGATTTGGTCGGGATTCGGTCCGGAGTCCGATCCGGAGTCCGATCCGGCGTAGCTATGATTGTATGTTAAAAAAAAAAAAAAAAAAAAAAAAAAAAAAACTTGCTTGTACTGCAATGCTGGACAACTTTTTTTCACAAGATTTTTTCACAAGCAATTTCGAAAACTTCCGAAAAATATAAGATTTGGGATATAATCCGGACATCTGCAGACATCCTGACTCTCAAGTGAGACAACAGACTCTCTGGACTCTGGTCTGGATGTCCAAACAGTAGCCATGAAAAAGAAAGTTCCTTTTTTTCGTTGGCCGATGGACCACGGAACAGAAAAGAAAGAATTTGGGATTTTTATAAACTCACCAAATGAGACTTTGGGGGATACCGTCCCTGCCAAATGCTGGTTGCGATGAAGGTCTGTCACGCCAGAAGTTGCAGGATCAAATCCCATTTTTCCCGAGAGGTATGGTGGAGTGGCTGAAGGCATTGGTTTGCTAAATCGACAAAAATTCTTCACTCGACACAAAGGGTAAGAGGGTGTGTGGTGGGCAGCAAACACACCTCACTCGCCGCAGATACTCCGCCCCATCCAACGGTGGGCCAGCCTCGAAGTTCGGTTCGCCATGGACAGCAAATGCTCGCGCCTGCAGACTTCCCATTTTCTCACCCTCCTCCTCCTCATTGTCATCATCGTATTCGTCATAACCATGACGGCCATCATCGCGTTCACGATTGCTTGTACCCCCCACATCGCATCCCTCATCTTTCACATCATGGACACGCACGTTGCTTGCCTGCTCACCCGGTACATCGATCCCAAATGATAGCTGTCGTCTGTCACTGCCATCTCGGTCCATACTGTCAATCACATCATCAGCAGCCGTCGGCACAGATTGACGTCGCTTCTTCGCCATGCTAACTTCCCTTGCTGGCCCATGTCCTGTGGCATTGTTCACAACTCCGTCGCCATCATCATGAACTGCAACGCCATGTGGAGATGGACCAGGTACTGAGGCAGAGGCATCCTTTGCTGATGGTGTACGATCCTCACTGCACCGAGCAGCGAGGCTGCTTGCAGGTTCCCCACCATCAATCGCATCACACTGGTCTGCGTCCGCATAGTCAAAACCCACGCCCATGGAGAGTGCTGCCTGAGTCCGGCACTCGTTATCACCCACCACATGTCCATCTCGAGCAGGAAGAGATCGGGAGCCTCTATGCCGACCCCTCCGGTGTTGGTTCTGTCTTCCACCAGCACTGCAAGCCATCCCTTCCGCCACCCCTACCAGTTCGGATTGCTGTTGGAAGCCCCTCCTAAAAACCATCGCCTTGATCTCCTGGAATGTCTCCTCTGCAGTAGACCGAATGTGGTTGAAAGCAGAGCTGCAACTCCGCTCGCAGTCATCTCCAATCGCCTTCAGTTCTGCGATTGAGTAACGCTTAACAGAAGTAGTGCTTGCACCCACCTCCTCCTCCGTCTTCGAGTGCGCTTCGATCAAAGCGCTATCCTCCGTAACAGAAGTTCTCACACCCACCTCATCCATCTTTGGAGCCCCTTACGAGCAAAGCATTTTTCTCTCTCAAGTGCTATAATGGACTGCGTGTAGCAAAACTCTCCGGGGTAATCTCGCAACAGAATGCAACGAACAAACCCGCTTCCTCTATCTTTGACTATACTACATCAATTGGCTGTGCTCTGAGCGACGGTCCCCAGGGGAAATCCAAATTGGACATCGATCTTTTCAGTCCGTAACGAGCAAAGCTCGTTCCTCCTCAAGTACTCAACAGGCTGTTTGTCGCAAGATCCCCGGGAGTGATCTCACTACAGCATGCAAAGAGCATGAAAATAACTTCTTCTATCTTTGACTATACTACATTCATTGGCTGCTTTGAGCGACGGTCCCCAGGGGAGATCCCAACAGGACAAGACAAACAGCACCTACCCAGCCTCATCCTCCAGTGCAAGAGTACGTTACAAGCCAAAGCGTCTTCCTCGAGTGCTCGATTGGCTGAACTGCATTCGGGACATTGGGACCCTGATGAACAGCATTGGGCCTGGCACATGTAATCTCTCAATGGAATACAGAGTTTAAGGTGGTGGTGTGACCTGCATTTGGGACATCAGGACCACGATGTCCCTCCGTGCAGGCTTGGGAATCGCAGTTCTCAACCGCCCGGTTTTTCAGAGTTACATAAACATCCTCCCCATGCAACGATATGTGGACGAAACCCCGTATAACAGCAGCCAAAACAGGTAGTCAATGTCATCCTTTCTGTGGCCATGCGAGAGGAACATCCAACACACCAAAGTGAACTGG